ACGTGTTGCGCTGGTCAGGTGCACAGACTAATATTGCTCAGCGTGCACAACGGCATACAGTACAGTGCAATCGTGTGGATTATGCACGTTGTTTCATGTGCGTCGAGTGTTTGTGTACGCGGCGTGTACGGATGCTTCCAACATGGCTGCGCCCAACAAGTCGATATTGTCGCACTGAGATAAATCAGTGCGAGAGCTTGATAAAGAAGTGAAAAATAAGTTCCGGTGGGAATGGTTTCGGGACTCCGTTATTATTGACGGGCATCAGCATGAATTTCAAGAGTGTTTCGATAAAATAGCAACCGCTGGCAAGGTTTTGTGCAATGTTTGCAACGACACTATCAACTACGCGTCGAGTGGAAAGAAATTGCTCGTATCCCATGTGAAACACCCGAAGCACATCATCATAGAGACTGATTAGTCTGGTGCTTCCAAAGATGGTATGTTCCATTCAGTTGTGGATGAAGCAAAACAAATATTTGTGTAGAATAATCTTGTTTTATTTATTTCTTCATGCTTTTACAATGGTTATTATTAATCACCATGGAGTTCTTATAATTACAAATAAGTGACAAATCAATGATGATGGTGATGAACTGAAAGAAAATGCAACAAAAGTGAAAAAAGAAATAACAAAATTGGCAAAATATTTTGGCTCAAATGATGGCCCAGAAAAGCTTAGATTGCACCACAGAGCATCTAAAATCCAAAATTTTTGAGCGGGCCCCGGACCCCACGCCGTAATGGCTTCGCGCTTGCCAGAGTTTGTACTCGTGCATAACATTTTCAGGGTTTTTTGTCACATCCCAATCCCATCCCTGAGTACTTAAGTAACCGAGTACGAGTACTTGTACCTCCGAGTACAAGAACAGGTCCCCGAGTATGAGTACTTATACTTCCGAGTACGAGTACTTTACTTCCGAGTATGAGTACAAGTAGTTGTATTCCGAATACAGCCATATGGCAAATGGTTGATTGTGTGTAATAATTGGCCCAGACCCAGTCAGACCGATATGCAGACCCAATCACGGCTAGCTGTTGTGTTTGTCTGGACGTGCACAGAGGAAAATCAGGAAATTTGATTTCTCCACAAGCCAATCAACCATTTCAAACTGAAAGTATTGATAAAATAAGGCCATGGTGTTAGCTATACCATTTCCCCCGAGTACTGCTATTTGAGTATGAGTACTTTGCTGCCTGAGTACGAGTTCCGTCATTTCTTTTCGGCCCGACACCGGTTGGTACACTGATGAGGTGTTGCAAGCTAAGCACAGACGAAGACAGTTTGGGGAATGCGAGATCGTTAAAGTCAAGTGTCACTCACCCAATTCTGTTCCGATGTGTGTGTGCGGTACTGTCCAACTGTTCTCCCGCACGGTGGCTGGCGGTAGAAATTGCCTCGACTACCGCGAGACGAAACCGATCCTAGTCCCGCGAATATATATTTACAAATGTTCACAAGTTTACCGACGGACGGACGAAGACGACGAGAATTAACTAACTAGTATAAAACTTGGAATTGTTGACGAATAACGATGATAAACTGGCAAAACTTGGCACTTCAAAGTTACAGGAACGCGACGATATTAAGACGTTAGAACGAAGGGGTACGTCCTTCGCACGTGTTTGTGAACCAACGAAAAGTCTATGTGAAACATGTATTATGTACAGGTACCAGCGACACGCGAAAGTGCTGACAGGTCAAAGTATGACGAAATGCTGACAAAGGTCAGAGTTCGCGCGGGGTGGTCACCACATCAGCCCCCTCCAGAGAGCTTCTGGAAGAAGTGATCGAAGAAAAAAACACATATATATACAATATTTACAGCGTTCAACCACAGTCGAACTGGGAGAGGTGCGCGGGCCAGTGAACCCGACGGCCGGTGCGTGTTGTTCGCTCGGTCGTGGTACTGTCCTGATCAACTGGAGCAGGCAGGGGAGGTGCCACCGGTGGGTTTTGAGGAGTTGGCACTGGCGGTTTTGGCGATGTTGGTTGTGGCAACGCGGTTGAGGGATCCATCTCAAGATACGCGACTTTCAATCTATCCAAACTCACTGCGTCACTCTTGCCGTTGATGTGATGTCCAGTGTATAGTATTTGTCTGCTCGCTCAAGTACACGATATGGGCCCTTGTACGGAGGTTCGAGTGGTTTGCGCACATGATCACATCGGACGAAAACGTGTGTGCAAGACAACAAGTCCTTGTGAAGCTGTGTGGTGCGGGTGTGCGGTCGTGTAGGTGCTGGCGCTATCTGACGCATGACGCGTTTGAGGCGATGAACATAATTTCCTGAGTCTAATCCAGCATCATTGATGGGTGCGACAAACTGTCCAGGGAGGCGCAATGTAGTTCCAAAGACGAGTTCCACTGTCAAACACCCAATGTCCCGTTTGACGACTGTTCGGATGCCCAGCAGAACAAGAGGGAGCGTTTCCGTCCACCTGTTGGGCTCGTCTTGTGCTTTGAGTGAAGCTTTCAACTGTCTGTGGAAGCGCTCCACTAGTCCGTTTGCGATAGGATGGTACGAAGTAGTGCGGATGCGTCGACTGCCAAGTAATGTTGTCAAGGCGTTGAACAGGGCTGATTCGAATTGTCGGCCACGATCGGTGGTGATTGTCGATGGTGTGCCATATCTTGTCACCCAATTGCTCACAAATGCTCTGGCGACAGTTTTTGCAGTGATGTCTGGGATCGGAATGGCTTCCGGCCACCTTGTGAAACGGTCAATGCACGTGAGTAGGTATGACTAACCGTTGGACGGTGGAAGTGGGCCGACAATGTCAATATGCACGTGGTCGAAACGGGCATCAGGGGTGATGAAGGTTCCTAGTGGTGTGATGGTATGCTTGTGCACCTTGGATTTCTGACAACGGATGCAGGTTTTAGCCCACGAACGAACATCATGGTTCATGTTGGGCCACACAAAGCGTGCGCTGACTAGCTTGAGAGTGGCTCTGATTCCGGGATGCGACTGGGAATGCAAGGAGTCGAACACTGCTCTTCGCATCACCTTGGGGACGAAGGGTCGAGGGGTGCCGGTAGCCATGTCACAAGCTAGGGTGTTCTTGCTTGCAACCAGCGGAATGTCCTGTAGCTGAAGAACCGACTGCTGTTTGTGTTGGAGTATTAAAGTCCTCATCATTGCGCTGATGCTCGGCCATGGCCTGGAAATCAATGGGAGATGATGACATGGCAGAGAACGTGTTCAGGCTAATGCGTGACAACGCGTCAGTGACGTCGTTGTGTTTACCCTGAACATGTCTGATGTCAGTTGTGTACTGCGACACGTAGTCAAGGTGTCGGATCTCGCGGGGGGAGTATCTATCCGAGCTTGCAGCGAGTGCGTGTGTCAGCGGCTTATGATCTGTTAAGATGGAGAATGCGCGACCCTCGACAACATGGCGGAAGTGGCGGATGGCAAGGTAAACCGCTAACAGCTCCCGGCCGAACGTGCTGTACTTGGTCTCCGCAGGTTGCAGCTTTTGCGAGAAGAAAGAAATGGGACGCCAGATGCCATGTTCCAGCTGTTGCAGGACTCCACCAACGGCGAAATCAGAGGCATCGACCATGAGGCTTAACTCGGCATTGGATCAAGGATGGGACAAGCGAGTTGCATTGATCAAAGCCGACTTGACTGCTTCGAAGGCATCGATTGCCGTGTTGGTCAGTTCGATTGTCTTCTTGGGTTTTCCAGCAAGTAGGTCGGTCAGAGGTCGTGCCAAGGCAGCACAGTGGGGGATGAAGCGGCGATAGAAGTTGACCAGTCCAAGAAATTCGTGCAATTTCTTGGTTGAATTGGGGACTGGGAACCGTTTGATCGCATCAACCTTTGTGTCCAGTGGCCGAATACCGTCCTGGTCGATCTGGTGGCCTAGGAAGTGTAGTGACGGCACACCAAATTCGCACTTGGCGGGATTCACCACAACACCGTACTGATCAAGCCGCTCGAAAAGCGTCCGAAGATGCGACTCGTGCTCTTCTTCGCTATGGCTGGCGATGAGTAAATCGTCGATGTAGGCGTATACGAAATCCAACCCGTGTAACACTTTATCGATGAAACGCTGAAACGTCTGGGCTGCGTTTCGCAGTCCAAAAGGCATGCGCAAGAATTCGAACATGCCAAATGGAGTGGTGATGGCCGTCTTCGGAATGTCACTCGGCTCCACGGGGATTTGATGGTATGCTCGGACTAAATCCACCTTCGAGAAAACAGTCTGGCCATGCAAAGACGAAGTGATGTCATGTACATGTGGGATTGGATAGCGATCAGGGACGGATGCATTGTTCAGAGCGCGGTAATCCCCGCATGGTCTCCAATCACCCTGTGTTCCTTTCGGCACCATATGCAATGGCGATGACCAACTACTATTGGAGGGACGGATGATGCCTAATTGTAGCATGTGGTCGAACTCCGCCTTGGCGATTTTCAATTTGTCCGGAGCAAGGCGTCGTGGCCTGGCGGATACAGGAGGGCCTTTAGTAGTGATGTGATGGGTGACATCATGTTTGGGTGTTGCATCCTTGAAGCAAGGTTTGGCAATGGCAGGGAACTGACCCAAAATGGCTGTGTATTGAGTGTTCGGGGATGGGCCAGCAAAAACAGGGCTGAGAACATTGGTACTTGTTGCATTGCCTTGAATGCTAAGACTAGTGGTGGAATCTATGAGTTTTCTGTCCTTCATGTAACCAATAACCCGAAATGGCGAAGGAAATCTGCTCCCAAAATTGCGACTGGTACATCAGCAACTGTAAAAATCCACCTGCATGTACGCCTAAGACCCAAATCAATTGTCATTGAACGCTCACCGTATGTGTGAATCCGTGTCTTGTTGACTGCCTCGAGCACAAAATCACTCCTGCAGCACTGCTTGTCTCGTGGCGTTGGAGGGAGGATGCTGACCTCAGCACCGGTGTCCACGAGGAACTTGGAGCCTGTGATTTTGTCATATACATGGAAAAGGCGACATTGATTTGGTGTGCCAGTGGATGAAGTCGCCCCTATCCGCTGGCCTGCTGGTTTCCCTGGGCCGTGTTGGAACTGTGGTTGCGTGTGTAGTTGCATGCTTCCTTGCAGTTACGAGCTTTGTCCCCGTATTTCCAATGGTACCAGCAGGAATCAGTAGGGTTGTCCCCCGACGCGGAAGAACTGCGATCGCGTCTGTGCTGGCTTTGGTCGCGACTGCGGCTCCTCGACCGACCGTGTTGATACTGGTTCTGGCGCACCAACAACTCCATCTGGGCCGTGAGCTTTTCGACTTGAGCTTGAAGCAACTGTAATTCCGATGCAGCGGATGGCTTGACTGCAGCAACAAGTGCTGGTGCTGGAACGGCAGCACAGGCCTGAGCTGGTGATGGGGAAACTTCAACGATTTTGTCCGCGAGCTTAGCGAGTTGTGCGATGTCGACGTCGCTTGTCGAGGCCAAGATCAGTTGGATATTTGTTGGCAGGCGTTGCATGAACAACTGCTTCAGGATTGCAGGCTCCAGTGTGTTATTGCCGAGGAGTTGTTCCATGGTGCGAAGTAACTGGCCAAAGCACTGGCCAAAGCACTATGTGTAAATACAGTTAGAGATCAGCAGTAGAGTTCGCAGCTAGCAGTAGACCAACACCCATCAAAGAACCGTACCCAGAATGAACAAAACCTGCCCTATTTGTACCCTATTGGCCCAGCGCGAAAATCAAAAGTACGCGATAGTAAATAGGCCACGCCCATTTTGTAAAAATCACAGTATACTGAATTCACATAGCGATAGTTTCCCCTCAATTTCTCCAGAATTATACAGCAAAATATCACACAAAAAGGCTTAAATTAATCTTCAAGACATTCCTTACAGTAAATCTGTTGTAAAAATGTGAATAAATTATACAGAATCCCCAAATGCTCACTTTTACAAGTAGTGAATGAATGTAAACAAACCTTAAGTTCATTGAAGAAAATTCAGTGATGTCACAGATATGAATATTCATGAGACAGTCACTGACTTACCCAACCTTGTTCCCATGGGTACGAGATCTTGCTGCGCCATGTTGCTTCCCATCATGCCTTGCGCGATCTTAACCCCTGGAATTGTGTAATTTAAATGTATCAAAATGTGGCACATAATTAGGCAACAGTTTATCCTTTTTAATGCCGACGCCATCTTTAAAATGTTAAAAGTTGTGATTTTGAAGAATCCATCCTTTTAAACATAAGGTTTGGACATTGCGTTATTTAGCAAAGATTTGTATTAAATGTATCAATCTTCGAAATGCATGCGCAGTACGCTCTAAATAGCCAGTCAGCATCATTTACGTGTACATCACGGCCAGGGGTTAGTGAAGGAACTCGCACGCGCCCATGGAGTCGAGGCTGTGACGTACCAGTCGAAATCTGACAGAAAAGTCATCAAAACTTGCCCAACTTGCAAAGTTGCTTCAAATTAGACAACTTTACATCTAAAGAAGCTTCGTAATTATTTAGTAAAACGTTCTAATAATATAAATTACTTTTTAGAAGTCTCAGTTTGCTAGAAATAATTTTAGAACTTTCAGCCAATCAGAAACGTTTTAAGCGCTGCTCAAATGGCAGCCATGTTGGATTTTACCATCACGCTATTTATAGCACAGCTGACATGTGTAAACAAACACGTGAGTGTACACACAGAATTTCGGCAGGAAAATACTCAAAACTACCTAGAAATAATACCTGAAAAGACAACCGGAATTTTCTAGACAAAAATGCCAGATCTCTAGGAGGATATAGGTAAGATTTAGAGTAATAAAACTTAAGTAAAAAGTGGGATTTGGGTGCATTTTGGTCACAGTATGATCCAGAAACCTAGTTTGAACTTGTACCATGTTACGAAGATGTCCTAAATTTTGTTACGTCATCATGACATCATCAAGTATCAAATTACAAGCAATTTCAGGGACAATTTTGACAAAATAGATTGCGCTGTATCTTTTGAACTAAATAGAGTATCATGTTTGTTTTTTTAGTGAGGTTGTAGTCTATGCCGTGAAAAACGGTTCCTGTTCCCGGACACAAAACCGCATGACCTTCATTTCAGGTGTTACCGGAAGTGCAATAAAAACCAAATATAACTCAAAAGCGGAAGCATTTTACTACACACATATTATGAAAGTGAGGAATACCAGACACAAAAAAGTGTGATGACGTCATCATCCGAAAGGGCGCCCCCTAGCAGCACATCAAATAGAGTTTGCTTTCTTTAATTTTAGAATTTGAAAAGGATCATATTTTTATTTTAATTCTATCATTTGATCCCTGTCATATCTTCGTAGTCTGAATAATGATATCCATTACAATGTTCACGTTTGGATAACTCTAATGCTGTGACATCATCAAACCGGAAGTTAGGTGTTATTAATACAAACAATTATATTTCCCATATTTTCATACGTTATTTTCACTTCACAATGAAAATGTATCCTCTCCGAACTTTATCAGTATTCACTAACCACTTTTGAATGATGATGTCATCAAATCAAAAATAACTTTTTTGCGCACATAGAATGTTTACTGAAATTTATCACACTATTAAAGATACATTTTTTTAAACATAATCATTGATAGTACTGGAAGGGAGTTAATTTCGTGAACCTTAGTTCTACATAGACATATATTCCCAACTTAACTGGGCAGTGTATAACAGTTCAGTTTGTTCTTGGTTTTCAATTGGAGCATCCACAAATGGGTGAAACCGGCTGAATGAGAATCATGTCCCAAATGCTGATTTGGGGAATGTGTCATGAGAGGGCGCAATTCAAAATATGACTCGGCAACTTTGGCATTTGAGATTCAGAATATTGTGGTTATGTTTGTTCAGTTTTCTCGAAATATAGAGCATTCATAGAGCCCAAACTTCATCAGGTTAGTTATTAAGCATCCTTGTTTAGATTTTGAGCACTAGTTTGCTGGTTGAAATGAAATTAAAAAAAATCACAAATTACACGTTTTAATTGCCAAACACGCTTTCAAGAACACGCTGCAAGAAACAGCTGTCGTATTGCAACTCGTTGTAACTGATTTTCAACTGTTGCCGTAGCTTCCACTGTAGAAACACAATGTAGAAAACAGAATACAATTTATTGCCTTCAAGAGAGAACTGCACAAAGATAGAAAATGTTTCATTTCCTTATGATTAACTGTTATTCCTGTTTTGTTATTTTTGCTCAAAACAGCTGATCGAAATCAACCAGTCTGAGTTAGTTCTCTTGGTTGGGGAGTTATTTGGGTGGTAACGAAGCAGTGGACCAGGCAATCAGTCGAGCACACCATTGAGACATGGATCAACCTCCACTGATTGACGGAGTAGTGCTGACTAAGATTGACACCATTGATGATAAAGTAAGTAGCAAGTTTATGTTCTGTATAGGCTTTGACCTTGGTTTGATTCCCCTTTTGTTCCATGGTGTAGCCTTAGTTATCCTTGAATGAATTGAAAAGTTTTTGGTTCATATCCTCTGCTTGATCCTCTGTTCTATTCAGGGGTGTGAAATCTCCGCTATTTAGCGGATTTCCGTTTTTTTGTTCAGCGTGCCACATTTTGTTTTCCGCTTTTTTTCTTCCGATGGTCCAGATTTCCCCCCGCTTTTTTGCCCGCGCGTAAGCATTGATTTTATTTCCGTTTATTTTATTTTCCGCCGCCGCCGAACGCACGCGATCTGCTCTCTAGTACAACATACACGTCATGGTAGCTCTGGGGTGCGTGCAAGCGAGTATTCAATGTACATGTACATTGTACGTACGTGTGTACTACATGTATACGATGCCATGTGCATGCATTTTTCAGCTCGAAGCCGCGTGTGTACAATGTATTGTACACAGCATGTACACAGCATCCGGGGAACCAACAGTCATTGCGCTGTGATTGGCTGCAGATAAATATGAATATTCACACATGCGCCATGAAGCGCGTTGGGACTCTTTGCGGCCGTTCCTGTGGCTATGCATGTGTTGACACGCGATGATCTCCACAATAACTCGCTGTAAACATCTACGCGCTCGCAGGTTCCGTTATTTACAGGTTCAGCTATTTTCAGCTATTTTTTTTTGACTCCACTCACACCCCTGTCTATTGACCCTGAGTCTTTGTACCCCCAGGTGACGATAACGCGACGCCATGTCTAGTCATGCAATGTCAATTCAGTTTGAGAGGTAGTCTGGTAGAAAAGGATGGTTAAATCGTGACATTACACTTTTTAACAAATTTAAGAATGTGATGACAGAATTTCAGAAAGTTGACTGGATATCGCTGCTAGGCATCATCATGCAGTTTGACTTCTCGTTGGTGCCGTGCAAGCGTGAAATTAAGGTTGTGATGAAAGATGTTTTCCTAGGGCTATCTTAAATTGGGATGATGATGTTTGATGAATAAGATCATTTGGGAGCTCGTTTCAGTCTTCAATCGTCTTTGGGAACAAACTTTTGTGGTACGCTTGTGTGCGGCATTGCAAGGAAGCGTAGCACTGATTATGTCTATTTCTTTGTGGACGTTCTACTTGGGTGATGTAATAAGGGATGTTAAGGGCAATTTCTTCATGGATGGAGCGGTAAAGCATAGTGACCCTGCTGACTGTTCTGCGGTGTTGGAGGCATAGGCTCACAAAACCAAGTGTTGTATTAGCTCTGCTTGCTATTTGATTGATGTGAAGAGACCATGACAAATCTTTTTGAATTTCAACTCCAAGGTATGGATGGTTGGGTACAACAGAAAGGTTGGCATTCATCAATCTGTAGATATTATCATGATGATTTTTGCTTCTTGTCATATGTAGGGTGTGACATTTCTGTCGCTTAAATGACATGTGCCATTGATGAGACCAGCTCACAAGGCTATCCAGATCTTTTTGGAGTTGTTGTTGGTCATTGAAGTTAGCTATGCGTCGGAATAGTAGGCAGTCATCAGCAAATAACTTGATTTTGGTGTCTTTGCTAATGTTGTCACCAATGTCATTGATGTAGAGTAGAAACATCAAAGGGCCTAGTACGGTGCCCTGGGAGACTCCTGATGTAGGGTCTGATGTTTCTCCATCTACAACTACTTGTTGGGTTCTGTTGGTTGACCATGTTCTGATCCATGTCAAGGTGTTACCTCTGATCCCGTAGTGTTCTATTTTATGAAGTAATCTCTCATGGGCTACAGTGTCGAATGCTTTGCTGAAGTCAAGCACCTGCACATCTATCTGAGCTTTGTTATTTTGATCTAGGTGTCGATGGATTTCTTCCATGGTGTTTATGAGTTGGGTTTCACACAAGTGATTAAAGATATGTTCCAGTAATTTGCAGGCTACCCACGTGAGGGAAACTGGTCTGTAGTTGCTTGGTGATGATTGGCCCCTCTTTTTGTATCCAAGGATTTGATGACTGTCACAAACCAGGTTCGACTTAAGAAATAGTTTTGGTTTCTGGGACACGTCACTGACAAAATGTTTTTAATGAATATTAAATATAAAGAAACAAAATTGCGACCTCTTGCGACAATGACCTTTTTGTTCGGATCCAAGTTGG